TATGTCATGTGCATGCAGGTGGCAGGGGCTGGGGTCCCCTGGAAAGTCAGCCAGTGCTCTTAACTACCAAGCCCTCTCTTCAGCTCCTGTAGCCTGTTTTTAATGTATATTTCTTATTTTTTTTTCCTCAGGTGCTATGATCATATCCCCTATACAGTTCTGTGTATTTGTATTTTTTTTTTTTTCTTTCCAAGACAGGGTTTCCCTGTGTAGCCCTGGCTGTCCTGGAACTCAATCTGTAGACCAGGCTGGCTTCAAATGCACAGGAGATCCACCTGCCTCTTCCTCCTGAGTGCTGGGATTTAAGGCATGCGCCTCCACCGCCTGGCCTGTGCACTGCTTTTTAAATTAGGTGTGTGCATGTGGTGCCCATGCCATGGTGCTCCTGTGGGGCTCAGAAGACAACTTCGTGGGCTGTGTTCTCATCTCCCTTCACCTGGGCTTCAGGGAGCCAGCCCTGCTCCAACTGGGCAAGAAGTTTCTCGCTCTGAGCCATCTGGCTAGTCACTGTCTTACCTTTTAAGCTCATCACTATATAAGGCTTTTCTCTGTGATTCTAAACACCTTTAACACCATTGAAAACAGTCATGAGACACACCATTGTGGGGATAAACATGATTTCTTGAAGTTTAGAGTTTTCACGTATCCGTTTTCCTTAAAACAGTAATGTCGGCCAACACCTGTACTGTGCGTGTCTAGGGGCTAAAGTGTTGCAGACGGCCATGCAACTTTATTCTACTTCAGAGGGAGCTTAAATTGTACTGAGGTAGAACACGAGAGATCTGAGAACGGTGCCCCTGAGCCTCAAGAAAGAGACTGTTCCTCTTCTAGCTACATCTTCTACATCTTTGTGGACAAGTTTTAAAAATGTGGGTTAAATGGCTAAATAATTATGTAAATGGGTACCTAGTTGTGTGGTTCACAGGCCAGAGGGGCCCAGTGGCCATGAGGCTGGGCCTTTGGCCTATTCTCTTTATGCACATTTTAATTAGCGGTGTAGGTGAAGCCCTAGGAGGCAGGTGAAGTCCTTAAATATATTATGAAGCTGTGAAGGACAGAGTTGGATGATAGAATAAAGATTCACAAAGATCTCTCTGAGCCAAGAAGATGAGCTCTGTCAGGAGCAAAGGTCACAACCTGTGCTTGAGCTTAAAAGCAAAATCAAAATCAAAAAACCCAACCACATAAATTTAAAATAGAGAATATGGAACTAACAAATTAATTGGCCAACAGCCCACTGTGAGCCCTTAGGATGACACACTGGCAAAGAACCCACAGGAGCAGGGGTGGGGTGTCGTTTACAGAGCAGAGACTTCACACTCACTCTGGGCTGATGAAATCACCTAGGGTCTATTCTTCACGGAACTTCAGAAAGGTTCCGACAGGAAGAGGGGGGTCAACGAGAGGGCAGGTAGGATGGTGTGGGCCCTGGGCAGGGCAGTCAGCTGAAAATGACCAACAGTGGAGCAGGGACTGAACGTGTGTCCTCTGTAGCCACCTCTGCTGGGCTTGGAAGTCAGACTGCCTGGGTGACTGCTGTGCCTCAGTGTCCCCATCTGCCTATTACAGACAATCTGAGGGACGAGTCATTTAATGACAGCAAGCATCGAGTAACGAGACAGAGGGGCTCCAGACTTGCAGGGCTGTGGGAGCGACAGGGTAGGGGAGGTTAAATAGTTAAAAGCTGTCCTGAGGATAAGTTAAGCATCATCTGGAGATGCTGGTACATGAGTCGACCAGCATTTCCTGAGCACGTTTTGTGGGTCAGATTCTATGCTAAATACCAGAAAAATGGGCATGAATGAGATGTGTCCTTAATCCAAGGGTTCCCTGGGGGATCTGGAAGAGGCAAACAGGCCACTCAAGAGTGTGGATAAGAGGAGGGGGTGAGGAGGGCGACTGACTGACTCCTGGAGAACTCGATGACTGGGGACATCTGAGACTCTGTAGGGGTGAATGGTAGTTTATGTGGGCGTGAGGGAACAGTGTGTGGGACCGGAGCTGTCACTGCTTACGGCATTTCCAGGGGCACAATGACAAGTTGGTGTTGTCACTCTGGGTGAGGTGGGGGACTGCAAATTGTGCTCGAGAAAGCGCTGGTATCCAACTCAGCTTACGATCCTGATTTAGATGGGAGCCATTAAAGTCAGAGAAGGCATAGTTCCCACCCTGGGAACCTTCTGTTTTAGACTGCTGTCCCCAACGGTCCAACACAGCAAAGGCTGAATAAAAAAGACCATGTTTCAGCTGCTGACAGTTAGACAGCGAAGGAAAATCTTGAAAGTGGCCAGAGGGAAAAAAGCACATGACATACAGGGACTAGCAGCAGGAAGGGAAAACATCTCATCTTTTTGTAAAAACAGTGACAGAAAGCAGAGAGAGGGCGTTCTTAACGACGGACAAAAACATGTGAATCTTGGATCCAGGGAACATAAACTTTTGTTTCAGTAATAAAGAACTTGCCACCCGCCAGCCTTGTACTCTATGGGATGCTTCTCAGCATCATCGGCAGGTTGAGTGTTCCTGAACTCTGAACCTTTTGTGCTCATCATAGCAGCGGGGAGCCCAGATTGACAGGTGAGTGCCAGGTGGGTGTTCACAGAAGGGAGGTCAGAGAAGGAGCCATGGATTCTCTTGAACCATTTAGTCAGCTGTTTGCTCCCCAGGGACAATCCACCCCCAGGCATACTTGAGAAGCTGAGCTTGGGTTTGAGGAGGCAGCAGCAATGTATAGATGCTGTGTACCATTTGAGCATGACCAAACAGCAGACTGGTTGGTAAGCAGCCGGTACCGCACGCCCCTTTCTCCCTTGCTTAGCCAAAGGTGAATCCTGGCAAGCAAGGCAACTTCAGGACCTTACCTCAGGACTCTGAAGAGCTTAGTCCTGACTGATCACTGCTTGTGGTAGAGTAATTGTGAAATACCCCCTGGAGATTGGTGGGGTTGCTTTTGGAAGAGCCTGGGTGTAGTGGGCAGAGAAGGACACCACGAGGCTGAGGTACCTGTTCCCAGGACTTCTACAGTGAAAGGGAGCAAGGTGGCCCTGAAAGCCCAGAAAATTAGTTTTCCAAGTTTGCCTGAGCATCCAGACACTTACTCTTCAGGACAGCCTCGGTTCTAATCCCTTCAGTCATATTTTTCCTCTTTAAAAAGGATATTTCATAGTCTTTTAAATACATCTTTTTGGCTCCATTGATTTGGAATAACATGTTTAATAGCTTAAGAAGAAAGTAACCTTCTCCGCCGGCTGGTCCCTTAGCAAGATGTCCTTTTACATGTCCATTTTCCCATGGCCTCTGTGGGTGTCTGGGTCCCTCAGTATGATGGGCCCTAGTCCTTTGTGGGGTCCTGGGCGGGTCTTCCCCATCCTCTGCACTGTTTTCCCAGCAGAGACCATCTGGGATGTAAGCAAGCACTGAGACCCCAGAAAGTGCTCTCCTAATTGCAAAGACGCTGTTAAAGCCACCAATGTGACCATTCTTCCTCCTAGGTTCAGTTTCAAGGGTTTATGTTGGAAGGAAGACACTTTCTGGGCATCTTTTTGGGAAGATGGCAGAGGTCATCAAAGGCAGGTAGGACAGATAGGGGAGGAGGCAAGGCGACAGTAAACCAGCACCATGAAGGCAGCCTTGGCTTCCTGTTGTCCCTGGCAGGGTTCCCAGGCTGCAGACTGTGGTTAGTCTCATGGGCTCCTCCGGGGCCACAAATGAACCACGGCCTTAAACAAACTACAGCAATCTGCCGAGACTTCAAACACTTGTTCCTACCCAACTGTGAAACCAGCGTTTTGTTTTTTAAATAACATCTTTGAAGTAGTTTACGCCAGAAGGAGAAGTGCGTGTTTTCCAAAAATCACCGTTCATATCTCCCAACTATTAAATCAAGCAGAATCCTTTTGTTTAGGACCCCGATTTGTGTAACCTTTGGTCAAATGGTACCATGGGGGAACAAGTGGTTTCTGAAGAAATGTACTTGAGGATCTCCAGAGCTGTGCTGCGTGCCCCTCACAGCCCCACCGTGATCAAGCCCTCCAGTTAAGGTACATGGTCTTCCAGGGCTGGTCTAAAAACTGCAGGGCTGAGCATTAGGGGCTGTATCACAAGCACTGGCTTCCATCCACAGGCAAGACACCTCATTTCTTTCCATCAATGGCTCTTACAGGGTCAGGAGCAAGAGATTCCCATGGGGCCTACAGATGGCTCGACCTGAGCCTCTGAGATGAGAGCCAAGCATCGGCTGATGCTGCTGGTGTGTAACCTCCCATAGAGACCCCACCAAGCTAGCTGGTTTGTAAGGAACTGCCAGGAGATAGACAGGTGAAGGGAAAGCTTTCTGGTCAAGAATGAGGCAAGAAGACAGGGGACTAGGAAGTAGCTAGAGGTTTGGGGCTCAAAGTACCAGCCTAGTAGGAAGGGCACAGTTGCTTTGGAGACCTGCCAAAATGGAAGACCTTTTGCTGCCCAAATTCTCATGAGCCTGTTTCCTCCTCCTTTCTCACCTGGGCATTTCCCCCTGTACCCCTTGGAAGCTGGGTCTGCAGGTGGTCTTCAGGAGGTCCCTGTGCGGGTTTGGAAGGCTCCGGGTGACCCGTTCACTCCGATAATGAGGCTCTCAGTGAGTGGATAGTTCATGTCTGCATTCCAGGGAGTTGATAACATTTCCTAGAGTTTACCTAGGGCTCAGTGAAGTCTTAAGCATTTTTTTTTAATCCCTTTGAGATCATTCATCTCCTAATCTGATAAATTCAAAGGAAAATACACTCAGATCACTCAGCTACTTCTTAACACAAATAACACAGAACTAATAATAAGGTCTGGAGGGGAAGTGAGCGGAAAGGGACTCAAAAAACAGGAACGGATATGCTCTCAGGAAGTGTCAACTCTCCCAGAGCCACACTGACAAGAGTGGGTCCATGCTTCAGCAGAAGTAAACTGAGGCCTGGTTTCCTCATGATATATCTACTTGGGCAGGTAGCTCCGTGAGTGGCTTAGTCCCTAGAGCATCTGAAAGAATGTTGACCCCCACCCCCACATACACACACTTTCAGCTGACTAATAAGAATCCTAGGAGAGAAGCAGAATGGAAGCTGGGTGTGGGGTGCACACCTGCAACATAGCACGTAGGAGGCTAAGCCAGGAGGATCTGGAGTTTGAGGCCAGGGCAGGATACATCAGGAGTTCCAGGCCAAACCCAGCTGCTCAGAGAGTAGCCCACAGTGAAAAAGGAAGCTGCAGCAGAATGGAAATATATGAGAAGTGGGCTTATAAAACAAAACACAACGCAGTCACAAGCTATGCTCGGCTCTTCCCCTTTCATCCTTCTACCTGTGAAATGACAGGGATGGGCAAGATAGCCATGAAGCCTGTGGACGGAGCTCTTATTCCAGGCATCATCTAGGGAAGGAAAAGGAACGCTCCACCGTGCAGTAAGCTGAATGACTGTCACAGTTTGAACCTGAAATGTCCCCCTTAGAGGGTCATGTTCTGGGGGCTTTGGGTGGGTCTGTGTCATCTTTTAGGAGGTGGGGGAGGTGGGGCATGGCTGGCAGCAAGTCACTAGTTCTGATGGTTAGTTTGAATTGTCATTTTTGACCCAAACAAGGATCGTCTAAGAAGAGAATCTCCATGCGGGGTTGTCTACATCGAGCTGACCAGTGGGGTTGACCTGCAGGGTTGTCTACAGTGGATTGGCCTGTGGGACTGTCTACATTGTGCTTCTTTTGGAATCTGCTATAGACCAGCAGAGTGGGTACTGGCCCTAGGAAGGTCCTGTAGCAGATGAAGGATGCAGGCATGGAAGAGACACTATCTACCCAGGACAAAGATGGAAGGGTGAAGAGGACCAGGCTGCTACACACTGCTAGGTGGATCATGCATAGCCAAGAGGTCTCTAGCTGGACCACTCTGGCCCTGGACTGGATCAGTATATGGAAAAGGTAAGTCCAGGTAAGTAATGATCCTCTTCAAGAGACACGGTGTTCACAGAGCAGATGGCCTGGTGACACCCTCCTGCAAGGACACTGGCAAGCACAGGTGCACATGACAGGAACACACACATCTCAAGAGTGTGGAGTTCCTTTTCTGGGTTAGACTTTCCAACCATGGAATCTATAAACACATTAGCTTCCTATCCATAAGGTCCTTCCCTCTGACCAGTAAAACTAGCAAAATCAACTGAGGTCCAGATCTCAGGAACCAGTAAGATTCCATTATGCACAAGAAACATCCCCCCAATAGCATGGGACTCTGCCAGGGAGGGAACAGACCCAGACAAAAATGCCCACCAGGTAGAGTGGAAAGTGGTCAGTTGTAGAAGAGAGGAAGGACCTCAAAGGAAGTTCCCACCCAGAATTCAGTGCGCTTCAGGAAGAAGAGCCCTCACTGTGTGTGGGAAGGCCCCAGTTTTTTGGACTCCTCCCCTCCCAGGCCCTGGGAGCCTCATGCTGTGTTATAAAGCCACTTCTCTGGGTTGTCAAATGGCCCATTCGCCCTAAGTGCCTCACAGTATTATGAGGACTAAGTGAGAACTGATTTCAGTGCACAGTGGATAAATAAAAGCAGTGAGTATGAAGCCTTCCTCATCTCTGGAGGAAGAGGAGGGCAGCACGCTAAGAACAGAAAATGAATAAGGGCAAATGGCTACAGTAGGTGGCACCCGACTGACCCCGGGATACCAGCCAGGTCAATGTGAACACATACCAGGTTAGTAACTGGCTCCAGTTACTGTCTCTATCCTCATATAGGCCACCCCCTCTCTCTCATTTAAGGAGATGAAATGAGAACACGTGAATTCCTTTGCATGGGGAGAATAAAAAGTCCCACCAGGAAGTGGCAGGAACATGGCAAGCAGAGTCATGTGACCCCCGTCCTCCTGAAGCCCCAGGCCCCTGCACTGTGTGCTTCAGCTCAGTGTAGTTTTTACCAATTTTCAAGCGATTCTACAAGTCAGAGACGCAGAGAGGACACTGCTCTGTCAAAAGTGAGGGAAACTGAGGTTCCAGGGGTGAGAGATTCTTGTCCAAAACAGTGCCATCAATAGGGAGCCCATCTCCTGAACTCCGCACACCGTGGAGTGGTTCATACCATGCCGCATCCCAAGACTTGTTTCAACAATTGAGACTGGTGGGAAATGCCTGTAATCCCAACACCAAGGAGGCCAAGGCATGAAGACTGATTTGCAATTCAGGCTAGCCTGGGCTACAGAGCCGGACCCTGTTTCCAATAAAACAAAACTGCCACTATGGCAAACCCTGACCCCAAGAGCCATCTTCCTGACAATCTGACGTACTCTACTGACCTCCTCAGGCACACACATGGTGCACAGACATATATGTAGGCAAACATCCATACACATGTATCCAAGATAGAAATGTAGATTCTCTGGATCCATTTCTGTGAGAAAACAACTATTCAGGGTTAAAACCATTGGTTCAATGACATGACATCATAGCCCCTGACAAGAAGGGAAGGGAACAAACGGCCTGTCGTATTGGGAAGACAGAGAAGGAAGCTTTTTTGTTTCTTTGCCATGGACTTCTCGCCTACAGACTCGGCTGTCAATCTCGATAGATGACAGGGCTGCGGGAATGAGCGCAGGGGGCAAGCACATGGTTAAGGGAGCAAAGGAACGTGTGGCACTGAGAAGCCAGAGGCAGGCAGTGAGATTTCTGTGGGGTCTGAAATTGGGGCAGGAGTCAAGTTCCAGTGGGTGCGGGTGAACAGGGAATCATGGCTCCTTTGCCTGCTACTCTTTCCTGCTGAACAGAGAAGAGGAACAAGGAAGATCCTAGAGATAGAGCAAAACCATATCCAAGGTCAGAGTCACCCTCATCTTCCATGGCTACTCTCACCCTTGGCTATTAACATTTCACGGGGTACTTTACTTACTGTGAGATGTTCTATTCTAATAAAAAAGAAATCAAAGTATAAAGATTTTGCTGGAAGACTAGCTCTGTTTCAGGGTGACTGGTGACATGTTCAGGAGGGGCTCCCAGGCACCTTACAGGGGCAACACATGTCTGGCAGAGGAGAACAGGCCATTCCCGAAGATGCAGCAGGTCAGGAAGGAGGCCTGGGCTTTTGGAAACAAATGGTGGTGACATGTGTCACTATCGGTGCGGCTGGGATGGTTCTGTGATGCACCATGGGGGACTCTAACAGAACCATCCCCAAGCACGACTTGACTCCACAGAGGGAAGGACCCAAGAGGGCAGACATCAGCTGATCTGTAGTGAGTGCTAGTTTATCAGATTAGTGTCCCCCCCCCCCACCCCGCCACGCATTGCTCACTCTTCACTGACTGAAGAGACCGAGAATGGGCCAGCCCTGCTGAGAGGAGTAGGTAAGACAGACCAGAGCATAATGCTTTTAGCATGGAGAGCCTCCTGGGGTCTCCTGAGCAGGCAGTAATGGAATCGACACAATGCTGCAAAGGTTTAGGATCAGTGGATGTGATAGATAGAAAACAGTCACCAACCACAGAGCTCCGGGCTAAAAGTAAGTTTAGACACTGTCGAGTCTGACCTTTCACACACACAGCCCAGAGTCACGTGGTGGAACCAAGGCCCTAGATCACTCATACCCAGCAACTTTTCAAGCCATGGATCTTTCCTTGCACCTTCCGCCTCCCCCCAGGCTAACATCAGTCTCCTGGTTCTAAGGTAGGACAAACCCTCTGGAACGCTGTGTGCATCCCTGAGGATCCCACAGGTCGCCGGGGGCAGCCTTACCTTGTGCGAGTAACGCTGATCCACAATCCTTGCCAGCCCGAAATCCCCAATCTTGAGCACAAGGTCCTCCGTGCTGATGAAAATGTTGGCGGGCTTCAGGTCCCTGTGCAGCACGTTAGCCGAGTGGATGTACTTGAGCCCACGCAGCAGCTGGTACATGAACAGCTTGGCATGCTCCTCGGTCAGCGTGCCCTGCTCCAGCAGCCGGGCCAGGTCAGTCTCCATGTACTCTTGGACAATGTAGGCCACGCTGAACTTGAAGAGCTCGCCCTGCAGATCGCTGCCCTTGGGTCCTAGTACCTCATACACCTTGACAATGTTGTCATGGTCCAGGCGCCGGATGATCTTGATCTCTCGGAGCGCGTGCTTCATGCTTCGGGCATCGCTCAGAGCAATCTTCTTCACGGCGACCTTCCGGCAAGACCGGCTGTCCACAGCCGACAGCACCAGTCCGTTGACCCCAAAGCCTAGGGGTTGGAGGTCAACGAAGCGCCCTCCAAGGTCATACCCGTAGACACTGGCAATGCAGTCACCTTTCTCGGCCATCGTTGCCTCAGTGGTCTGGAGCCTCTTGGGGGATGCAGGGACAGGCAGGAAGGGCCAAGTTCCAGCGAGTTGTTTCCCCTGCACACCTCATTCTGTCAAACCTCACAACTGAGGGACGCTTTGGCTCCTGGTGAGGTCACTGCTGCCAGGGGACAGGAACAGCCGCAAGTCCTTGCTCACTGACGTGCTCAGCTGGATGCTGCAACTGTTCTTACCTGCACTGAGAGGGTTTGCCACCAACTCCTGTGCTTCAAGAACCCTCTTAGATGCTTAAAATGGTTCATGCTTCTTCCGGATCTGGCATTATTAGAAGGGAAAGCCAGTGTCCTTATCTTGTATCTCCTGGGATCTCAGAGTAAAATATGCAGCAACTCTCTCCCGTTGAGTCCTCCTGTCGGGCTCAAATGCAGGAGCTGCTTGCTGAGCTGTGTTGCTTTACTTAAGTGGGTCCAAAGCTTAATCGGATCATAGCTTCCCTCTGTGCTCTGAGCAGTAAGAGGGGATCCAGTTAATAGATTCTAGAAGGTTCTGGAGGTTCCTTTCCATTTCTGCCAGCTTATCTTTCCCCAAGTTCCCTTTAGAGTCCCCAAACCCCAACCAGTTTGGTGAGTAAAGAGCTTGGGAAAAGCTGCTCTCTCATGAGCTCTGCAGCTACACCTGCTGCCCCAAGTCCAAAAAGAACTCAGCTGCCAGGCCAGGACCCTCCAGAGGCTTCGGATGAGGGCACATCCTCTTTCACCCACTCATCCAAGCCAGCTTGACGGAGACTGCTCCACCGGATGCAGTAGGACCGCAGGAATGCAGCAGCATCTCTCGGAGAGTGTCCCCTTCCCTGTCAAAGAAACAATGTTGGGTAAATTTCCACACTCTGGCTTCCAACACCTTCCCGCTTGCGTCTTTTGTTAACTAGCCCAAGTGTTATTTGATCTGTCCAGCCAGCTGAAACGCTGCTTGCTCAGGGGATTCCAGCTTTGCACTGCCCAGGCACCCCCATGCTGCTTGCAGCAGCGCCCTGGCAGAGGAGAAAGACGGGGTTGATTTGATAAGCCCATCAGGTGGAGGGCTTTTATGTCGGCGCCTGCTTCCCTCGGGCTAACATGTGCAGACTAGGGGTGGGAATCACCCTTTTGACCTTTGCAAGATTCTTCTGTTATGCTTTCCAGACACATCAGCCCTCGCTGGGAAGGTTGAGAGTCAACAGGAACGAGTTACAGATGAAAATGAGGGTGCAATAATCTTGTTTTCCCACGAGGGTCCCTTCCTTATTTTGCAAACGCCTTTGAATACTTTAAGAGAAAAATTTGTCTCGGGCTGAGATTTAATAGCCTTTGTATGCCTTCCTTCCCACGTAGGTGGCAGAAACACAGTTCTATCTCTCACAGAAAAGGGGCTGTTTGCCCAAAAGCCAATGCTATCTCAGGGCTGGCTCGCCATGCCAGCCCTGGTCTTTTTATGACAGAAACACTAGGGACCGAAGCATCTAAGTGATTAAAGCAGTTGGTCCCCTCTGACCTGACGATTCCCCTCTGATGGCTGTTAACTCAAATTGCAGGTATAGGAGATGAGGTGGTAGGTGAAAACTACCAATCCTAGCCAGGTCAACTCAGAACTCTGAAGTAAGGAACATAGTGGCTTCAAGAGTGTGACTTGCTTCCCAACTGTATAAAGCTCATGGGTACACAAAGATAGGACTTTGTATGTGGCACAGAGGAAACCTGGCCAGTCTCAGTTCTTAATTTCCCGCCTCCTCTATGGAAGTCTCACACAGTGCAGAGTCCCACGTGAGTACGTGTTCCCGTCTGAACTCTGTACGACTCTACACATAACAAGTGAAGTAAAACAGCTATGCATAATGCTCTGAAATTCTAGCGTGTGCACGCTCACGCATGCATGCATGCATGTGTGTGCAGGTGCATACAGACGAGCAGTCTAGCGGATAATCAGATCCCTACTGAGGACCATGCATGCGGGCACACGTCTGTGTTTGTGGATGCCAGCAGTTGAGCCCAGGCGCCTTCTTCAGTAACTACCCCACTGTCTTCTCCCAGGCACGGTCTCTGGCTGAGTGTCTAGCCAGCAAGTCACAGTCACCCTCCTCTCTCTGGTCCTCAAGCTCTGGGGTTACATACAGGCTTTTTATGTGGGTGCTGGGGAGCTGACAGTGGGCTCTCCTGCTCATGCTATCTCCCGAGTCGTGCCGTTACCCCCTGCCCTGTGCCCTCTGAGGATTTCTGAACAAGGACATTTGCCAAGGCTCTGGAACATAGTAAGGTGCTTAGCATCACAGACGGCAGCAGCTATGGCTGCCTTCCGTTAGTTCTTCACACTTGCAGGAGATGGGAGTCTTCTGACAGCCTGTCAAATTTACAGCGGTTCCCCTCTGAAGGTTTTATTGGGCCCAGAGGCAAAACAGTTATAGACTTAACAAAACCTCTGACTTGGGAATAGTCCGAGTGGACAAAATCTCATCGTCCTGAGCTGCAGACAATACAGTCCTTTTTGGCTCCTGTGACTAGGAGTCACCTTTATTGGGTAGGGCCAGGCTTCTAAGTATTCTACTAAGCAACTCCATTAGTGACTGACACCTGCCCCGCTGTGTCCCTAAATGCCAACAGCAAGCCCTCTGAGGCTGCTTCTGACCCAAGTTCTCACTTCTCAGGTGACCAGGTGATGGACTGGGCCTTGTGAGAGCTGGCTTAGTGGTGCCAGCAGAGACTGGCACCTGGCTAAAGGAATACCCTCCATTGGTATGCAAATGCCTGAGCCACTTAGCCACACACAATAACACGTCTGTATGTAGTAAGTCTTCCTGGATACCTAACTCAGGGAACCCCCCTCCATCCGAGAGAGAGAGAGAGAGAGAGAGAGAGAGAGAGAGAGAGAGAGAGAGAGAAAGAAATATGGTTCTATCCCAACTCCAGCAGCCAGATGACACCACCTGAGCTGGAACTTCTTGCAGATCCACATTTGGGCCTCATTCGGTCCCCAAGGGTACTGCAGAAGGAGCTAATTCGGCCCCCCTCCCCCCCCAGGATAGATGCCCACACCTCCTCCTCTTTCCAACTCCTGCTGGGTGGTGAACAGAGATTGGAATGGTCCCTCAGACTTCACAAACAGCTCAAAGGAGGACTTGCTGGCAACTGGGGATGCAATGCAGATAATCCGTGAATAATTAAGAAGGGCTTCATTTCTTTTTAAATCCATTCCTCTTCCTGCCCCGCTGTGGGGGGACTGCCTTCCTTGTGTGTCCTGTTTTCCTGTGCTCTTCCCGACACACTGGCAGCTACAGCACATAGGAGACATGTCACTGTGGGGACATCGTTTTCCTCCTAGATGTCAACAGACCCTTTTCATCCTCGCCTGGCTTCTCTGATTGTGCCTTTCAGACTTTTTCCAGCACATTTCCTGGAGGGTGGGCTGCCTCTCCCTAGTGCTACGAGAGTACACAGCATGCTTACCATGAGCCCGAACGGTGCAGACAAGTCCATGCCTGCACTTGACTCTACAAATACCTTCTCAGTATCATCTGCCACCCCAATATTGCCTCTCAGAATGTCAGCAGCCTATGCAGGAGGCCTTCATCCAAGCATTCCCACCCGAGTTTCCTGTCACTCATCTCTTCTGAAACTGCTTCATTCTCCAGTTCCTCTGTAATATCTACTGCAAACCCACGGCCTGTCCCCAAGGCAGTTTGCTAGGAAACATCCTCTGTCCTCTTCTGGCATGATATGCCAAGAAGCAGGACTAGTCACCCCCAGAGAGGGGCAGGCGGTACTTAATTGTGTCCCTGGAGAGGGGAGTAGGTTCAGCAGCAAAGACTGGTCATCTCGGTGAGGTGGCAGCTCAGAGCTACTCAGAACCCCAGATATGATTTCAGACCAAAGGGCTTGGCATTCACTGTACGAGACACAAAGGCCAACCTCTTCACCTGTGCTCAGATGACAGGCAGCAAGACGAAAGCACGTAGCTCCCCCAAGGGCAGCACAGGCTCCCACAGCCACAGCAAACACAGCGCAATAAACACAAATAAAAACCTCTAAGCCTAGGCCTCCTCACAGTGGAACCCCAGCTCTTGCCTGGTTTCTTGCGGACAGCTTCCCAGATATCCAGTGAATTATTATTCTCTCCCTGTGCAGTCTTCTAACAGATGGGGGCAAACCAGAGGTGAGGTGCTATGTGCCACCTGTCCCTCTCTGGGATTCCTGGGGCTCTGGTTTACAGACTGGCTTAGGAAGATCTAAATTTAGACTCACCCCTCTGCCCGCTCAGCGCCTCCCAAACCTTCTGCTGTTGGCTTCAGCAGGAAGCAGACACCTGGGAGGTGCTGACATTTCCCAGCTACTGATTTGTTCCTTCTCCCCAACACCCCCAAAACCTGTAGCCAATTTTCAGATGGGACTGAAGTTTTAGACAGGTAAAACCATTTATGCGACACTTAGGCCTGACTGACCTCATGGTTCTTGAGTGGAGATCAGTAAGCCATTTCTACAAAGGACCAACATATCTTTGTGGCCAGACTACTGACTACTCACAGGGGTCCTGCCTGGCATCACCTCTAGCTGGCACCAGCCACCTACCAGTTCCCTAGTGTGGCAGGACCCAGCTCTGCATAGCTGCCTGTCTGCACAGCAGTCCCATTCAGGCACACCCCCCCCTTTAGCCTCTGGATGCCCATAACTGCCAGGATATTGGCCCCGACCCCAAAGAGGATGTGTGGAGCTGGTGCCCAGCACTGCACCTGGCACCTGGCCAGGATCTGAGAGTTAAAGTTCACGTCCTATCATTTCAGTCTGAGGAGAGCCAGGTAGATAAAGACTCTCTCCTCCCATTGGGTGTAACACAGCAAATGACTCAGAGGTACGGACGGACTTATGCTATACACATCCGCAGGATTCCACCCACTTAAGAGTCCGGGTGATACGAGCCAGCATGTGGGCCTAGTGTTAAAGGGGAACAACCAGGCAGAGAGGACAGAGATAGGAAGGGAGGGCTGGGATTAGGGGGAAAGACTATGGAACTATATACCTCCATACCCAGGGTAGCTGTCTCCCTTCCTGGGTCACCCAACTGTCGCTAGCACTTGGTGTATACCACCATCCCCCTTCTGCCACACCCTGATAAAGCCCTCATTACAGAAGCTGCAGGAACCTTGACATAGCTAGCAGAATCCATGTGCTATCGCACCTAGACTGCACAGTTCTGGATCAGGACCTGGTCTCCCCTCACATGATGGAGGGAGTTAGCTGGGAATATAGGATGGAACTGGCACCCAGGGCGAGCCTGCTGTTCCAGCTAGTACAGGGCAAAGTTTGGCCAACAGCGGGCAAGAAGACAACACATGGAACATTCTCTTCAGTTCTTCCTATCTACCTGCTCCAGGTGAAGAACTTGGGGAGTTGACGAGTCTGGAAAACGAGCCCAAGCCAGGTTCTGCTGTTTTGGTATGATCTGGAGCCCCCATGCCAGGAAGGTTAAGGTGAGTCAGGTAGGGCGAGGGGTAGCCTGGGAAAAGTTGTAGCCACCCCCAGACTGTATAGCCTCTACTTCCAAGTTGACCTCATCAGTGCGATGGGTTCGGGCAACTTGGAGCCTGAAGGAGAAGGCATAGAGGAGTGGGCTTCTGCACTGTGGCCAGAGCTGCCCCCAGAGCAGGAAGGCAACAGGGTAACATGGTGGGATGCAGTCACAGAATAGTGAGAAGTCACCTCCCCAGAACTGGGCATGTTCCACCTCCGGCAAGTACAGTCTGCTCACTGGGGCATGCAGAGGAGACAGAGACCCGAGCGAGCTTCCAGCTGAGAGAGTTGCTTTCAGAGCCAGGGTTTCTTTGACCCCTAAGAAAATCATTTTCTTTTTCCTAGCGACACGAATTGTTTCTGGTTCTGAAGCTGAAACGGTAAACTAGGATTTCAATGTGCGCAGACATAGAGGCTCCCATTCCCTTGGCTCCAGGGGAAAACCTCCCCTGCTCCTTTGAGTGGGCAGCGAAGGTACCTGTGCCTGGACCAGTGGTTTCCAACCGTGCTAATGCCGCGGCTCTTTAATACAGTTCCGCCTGTGGCCGTGACCCTGGACCATAAAATTACTTTTGTTGCTGCTTCATAACTGCAATTTTGCTACTGTTATGGAGTCTTAATGTAAATACCTTTGGAGATGGAGGTTTGTCAAATTGGGTCGCGGCCCAGAAACACTGGCCTAGGGTCTCTCCAGCTTAAAATTCTACCTCTTTCCACCTCTGCCCAAGGCCTGGCTGTGTGGCCCTTCATAGGGCTGTGACCCAGGGAGCCACAGGGCTGGGGTATCTTTCAATGTCGGGTCTGCTTATGCCACCTCTCGTCACCATGGCTGCCGTGAGGTAGAGAACCACTCGGCTCTGCTTCCTTGTAACAGAACACTAGGACCAATGGGGGCCTTCAGTGAGCAGCTCTCTGCCATCTCCTGCTGCCCCTTTACCCCTCTCTTCCTTTCTGCTTCATTTCTGAAGGAAGGGGAGAGTTCTCCTCACTCTCCAGCTGTGACTTTTTTGCATATCTCTCTGTGACAGAGGTTTAAGCCTGAGCTCCCCAGGGGTCACAGCACCCACACCCCATCTCAGACGTGTATCTGTGCTCCCCTCAACTCTAACCTCTCTGAACTGCATGGCATGGCCTCACAGGTTAGAGCAATTGTCCTCAGTTACCACATTCCTAGAACATGAGCCACCACCCGTGTGTGACTCCGTGCTTGGGGTTGGTGTGCTTTGGGATTAGGGCTTCCTTCTTGTTCACAGTGCACACGCCTGTGACAGCCAGTCCACAGGCTTCTACTCCTCAGCAGGGTTTTCCTCCAGTAGACTGAGAAGCTCAAGAAAAGTGTAGTGGCTACATAACCCTGAGGTCCCCAGCTGAGTACGTCACCTGGCACACTAAAAGGTGAAGACTCCATGAAAATGCAGGCAGGACTGGGGCTAGGTCCCGAGAACAGAAAGTGTGTGGAAGAAGGGCTCAGAGCAGTGAGTTCTGGAGGAGCAGCTCTCAGAAGCTGTGATTTGCCAGGGGAGCCATGGACAAGCATAGGACAAGAGCAGGAAGCCTGAGTGGAGCAGGGTGAGGGAGCAGCTAGTGGCTGAGCAGAGATGCAGGGGCGGACTTAGAGATCACAACAGGACAAGGCCTAGGAGCTGAGGTGGAAGAGTGGCCAATGGTGGGGTCCTGGGGAGCCTGGGGGGAGGGGTCGCGGGGTATACAGGACTTTGGTCCAGAGCACAGAACACAGTGCACAGTGTCATGATCAGAAGAGATTGTTAGTGGTAGAATCCTGGAAACTGTGACCTAGAGAGCAGAGCCACCCTGTGAAGCTCCCTCTTTATCTTTTCTTCTCTGGCTATCAGGTCACATAGCGACCAACTCGGGATGCTGAAGCCAGGTTGGTTCTAAGACTAAAGACAAACTCTCCCCTCAGACTCACTTTTCTCCCTTCCTTCTTCAGGCACAGCCCCAGCGTGAGACACCACACAGTTCACGACCCATTCTGAGGAAGCCCTCCTTACGGACTGTTCTCTGCTCAATTCTTCTGGAAGTCTCAGCTGCTGTAGACAGCTCTTTTATTGTTTGGTAACCCCACAGACAGCAATAAAAGTAAAATGAAAACACATTTGCAAAGCAACGTTCCACTGTCCAAAGCGCTTGCCCATAGTTCTACTTAATATTTAATATCTCCATGCAATATTTATGCAACATCCCCATGCTTCAGGCAGCGGGGATGCAGGTGCAAATAAAGCAGGTGCGGTCCTTAGCCCCTAAGAAACCTCCAGTTCAGAGGTGGAGAGGCCTATGTGATACAAAGATCGGCTAGAGCGCAACTGTGATGCACTTCTGATTGGAAGCCACACAATGCTGAGAGCGGAGGGGACAAGAAGACCAATTACTTTGGCAAATAGTGGCAGACTGCCTGGAGAAGTGACATTTAAGTCAAGACTTGCAAAGTGAATCGGGGCTGAGCAGTGGAGGCATTGGGGGCAGGGTGTCAGTATCATGCCCTCGAGAAGTAAAGACAGACATTGGAGGGAGAGAGAAGGCTGGTGGGCCGGATTCTGAGAGCCACAGGTGGATAAATAAGGCCGGGGGAAGGCTGGTGGAGCTGACTGAATCAATACTATTTGATTCTGCTTTAAGAGAGCCTGAAGAAGAGGCATCAACCCTGTCCTCTGAGCAGGAGGAGAGCTGAGAGCATCGGGAAGTCCGGGGAAAGAGGCCACTGGGGGACCTGAGGATCCTCCTTGCACAAGCCTGCTCTCTGTGGTTTCGTCTCCACCTTACAGAGAACTGAGGCAGGCTGGTTGAACGAGTTGCTTAAGTCTTTACTCTGCAAAGGGGCAGAGCAGCTGCTGGCACTTAACTACGCGAACCTAATTTAGCTACTAAGTGAGTTGACCCGCCCCAGCTTTGTAGGAGCACAAAGGTCCTTTGCTCCCACAGGTCATTAGGGAAACCAGGAATGGTAACACACAGGAGCCTCTTCTCCATGGAGGAAATAAAAGACCTGCTGGTCTGCCCAGAAGACTGGGAGTGGATTTTGTTAATGACCTGGGGACCTCTTGGCTACCTGCGGAGGCAGACCTCACCCATCTAATCCCCCAGAATGATTATCCCAGACACTCTCTCCCTAGACTGTTACCCATCCTAAAGGGAGATGTCACATGACCTGCTCACCTCTCTGCTCTTGGTCAGACATAGATTAGATAGACAGACACTAGATTCTAGGCCTTTTAGCTATAGACCCCACCCTCATGGTCACATGTACTTTGCAAAGGAGTTTCTACGTAGTCACACCTTTACTATACACTTGGAACTGGACTGATGGTTACCTGGAAACCCTTTCCCAAATTGTCTTAAATATGTTGACAACAAACTGCCTGGCCCTAGACTCCGCAAAGTCTGATCCAGGTTGAGGATGCCAGTCTGCACCAGATTTTCACTCTTATCTCCTCCTGAGGTTTGCTTCCCTGCATGTCACAAGAGTTTGGAACTTTTCTGATCCCTAGACAAGTATGACTTTGTTCCCAGATAGCTGTGCCATCAGTGTTTTCAATTTGGCAACCACCTTCCCTCCTCCCACCTTCATGCCCCTCCTACAAGATCAATTGACAGTAGATCCCCTGTCTCTGGCAACATCCCCAGGTGTTGCTGTTACCAAGGCAACCATGTTACCAGCCCACCAATGGCCATTACTCAACACTATCGGATTCTGCCGCCTGCTTCCTCCCTCTTCACAACACATGGAAAGTTATCTAAAGTAAGGTATCCCCTTCAATAAGCAGAAATTCCCAATCTTGGTGTCAGTCCTCCTGGGCAGAAGCTCCAAAGGTGGAGATGTGGCACAGATATGCAGGGCTGTGGCTGGTTGGGCATTGGTCCCCCTCCACGCAATAACGGGTCTGACCAATATTAACTCTCAGCCATGGAGGCCACGGGGGTGGGGTGGGGGGATGATCTCACGGCACGAGATTTCCAAGCTTCAGAAAGGGAAGAGTCCAGAGTGCAGTGTGGTCAGTTGAAGCAGGGAGTGATATCAGCTAGTACGAGGTTGTCAGCCCCCATCACCGCTTTCCTCTGACACAGAGGACCAGGCTAGGGCCAATAAGACAGAGATGCTAAGATGCTATTTCCGTTCCCAGTACCGGCCTCTCTGGAGAAAAGCAGCATTGCCTTCCTCCTCACACTCATCTTCTCTAAAGCCCAAGTGGAAGGCAGGAGACGTCCTTCAGAATTGCCATGAGCAATAAGGGATGGGAGGAGATTGAGGGAAAAAATTCAGCAGCTAGGGAGATGGTTCAGTCAGCAAGGTGCTTGCTGGGCAAGCCCGAGGGGCTAGGCTTGGGCTTTCTTGTAAGAAGCAGGGCGTAGTAGCACATACACGGAACTCTAGTGTGCAGAGGCAGAGATCCCTGCCTGTGGGAGGAGGATCCTGACTGTGTGTCTGTGGTAAGGCCAGCCAGCAGAAGACAGGACAGCAGTCATTCTGCAGGACCATCCATGCCATGTCTCGTAAGCCAGGAGAGACTGTTAGGAACCAAAACTAAACGTGTCTGAACCCAAGCTTCCCCCAGGTCAGCGGCTGTGACTTAAGCCAGGACCCAGGTAGGGTCCTTGGTTGTGCACCCTGCACCCAAAAGTCATTTCCTGGCTGGGCCTGCTGGGGCTCCTGGGTCAGTGGACTTGGGGTAAGACCTGAGAATCTGCATCCCTAAGTTCTGCTGATCCAGGGACAGACTTTTAAAAACTGCTCATTGAGGGGGCTTAAAGCAGGAAGTGTGAGGGGATATGAGTGGGTTCAGACTCCCCTCTTCCCAAGACATAAGTAACATTAAAGCAGAATTTGGTGGTACGGCTTCTGCTCAGTATGAATGAAGCCCTGGGCTCCATACCAGATATACAGATATACACATGTGTATACACACACACACACACACACAAACACACACACACAGATGCACATGCAAACACAATTCTTCCTTGTCTCAAGAATGAAAAGGCAGTTAGTGAGGTGACTAGGTACTGTGGACCTTTAGTCTCTCCATGAAGGTTCAAGCTTGAGGCTGGTTACCAATGACCCCCATGGTCTCCTGGATGGTATTAACCACAGAGACCATCCAGGCTTGGATCACTATAGAGCCTGAGCTCAACTACCGTATTCCCGGCTCAGCCAGATCCCACAGGCCAGATCTATGGCTCAGTGTTGTCGAACTCCTGCTAAATAAAGATAATTACATGATAGGCATATGCTGTTTAGGGTGCTGCCCTGCGTGTATATCTGGGGGAGAAGCTACTTCCCTGAAGAAACTTGGTTGCCTAGGTAGATTTCAACAGTTTCTCAGCATTTTATTTTACTTAGTATATCTGTGTGGTCATTATATAAAATAAGACACAGGAAGCCAGCAGAGCCCATACACCAGCCAAGTTTTTGTAAGCCAGTACTTTGTAGTTTAATTTAGAATGATCAATTGAGCAGTCACCCAAACCCTATTTCTTAAAATTCCCCGGGGTGGAATTCTTCGGCTTGGTGCTAAGTGCGTAGGCTGGCTCTCAGAGGCTTCAAGTAAATTTCCTCTTCTCGAATACAATAATATGTTGCTGCTGACAAGCAGAAGCCGCCATACAGTGAAGGAAACAATTAGCAAATTCACTAATTAGGATTCTACTTGCACGTCTTCCACAACGGTTACCATTTGTTTATTATAATTACAAATCTCCTGTCTTACTAAAACCACTAATGGTCTTCAGAACGTACTGTTACGTTTGCAGAGCCAAATACATTTTGTTTTGCACGAAGAAAAAGAATGTCTGTATAGTGTTACATCTGAAGGGGCCTCAGATGCTCCAGTTGAACAGTTTAAAGTAACAGAATCTTATAGCAAGCCAGCACACACACACACACACACACACACACACACACACACACACACTGCAACAGATACAATGGATGATGCCGCTTAGTGTACTCACCTTTAGCCATTCAATTACACAATCAGCCAATGAGAACACTGAACCTTATTCTTAGGCAATAATTACCTAGATTATTTCTACACACTGAGAAATTCCTTATGTTTCTAATAGCAGATTAGGTTATGACAGGTGTCATACCAATTTTCATTTTTCAAGAAAAAAGCAGTTCACATAGAAAATCTCAAGTTATTTTTAAGCTAAAAGAGACAGCAGCACAAACAACTGAGGACAGTTAAAAAAAAAATTCAAACAAACGCATGATTGAAACCGAGAAGCTATGAGTGCTGTTTTTAAAAGGCATACCGTATAGTTTGCAAAGGTCAACTCTAATCTGTGTAACAGCACGGCACCTTTACATACGAGCTGCAAAGCACAGATCTTCATGAACCTCTTCACAGATGAGAAGTGGGTTCAGGGCAGGCAGAGAGGCCAGTCCAGATCCCAGTGGAGGTGGGAGACAGCGTGAAGAAAGCCCGCATTTCCCAGTGAGAAGCCGGCCTGCACTGACTGCTCAAGGATTCAGAGCTACAGGGAGAAAACAAGAGGGGGAGGGGGCACGAGAAAGGAAGGGAGAAGAGAAAAAGGTAAAAAACAGAGAATAGAGGGGGCATTCTGTTTGGAAACAGATGCCATCGGGCCTTCGTGGGTCAGGAATGGGGCTGATGTGTGATTTTGAGTCATAAACAGGACTTCTCCTTAAAAACCCCTCCAGGCCACACACAGACACGACAGACAGACAGACAGACACACACACACACACACAGAGTCAGATAAGAAATTTAGTAAATGCTGTGTATGGTGGCAAATGCCCCAGTGCTTTTAAGGGAGGAGCATCATGGACCCGAAGCTAGCCTGGGTTACATGGTGAGAGCCTTCCTCAAAAAAAGTAATAGACGGAGCATTTGAACACGAAGTGTTCAGCCTTTCTCACTTTCCCCCACTCCCCACTTGACAAAACACCATGCCCCCAAAGCCCCCGCAGGGACAGCCACAGAAAGGAGTCTTCTTAGAGCACAGACTGTGTATGAAAAGGGGAGACACAGATTCCTGTCTTGGAACACAAGTAGGCTGGCTCAGGTTTAAAGGTTTCTGTTTCTCTGGTTCATTCCCATT